GACTGTGCTGGACTGTGGTGGACTGTGGTGGACTGTGCTGGACTGTGGTGGACTGTGCTGGACTGTGCTGGACTGTGGTGGACTGTGCTGGACTGTGGTGGACTGTGCTGGACTGTGGTGGACTGTGCTGGACTGTGGTGGACTGTGCTGGACTGTGCTGGACTGTGCTGGACAGTGGTGGACTGTGCTGGACTGTGGTGTTTCAGGCCTGATCTCAGCTCAGTGCAGGACATTCGCTTCACTGACATCATATATAAGCTGCACAATGTCTCTTCATGTCTCAGTGAGCAGATCCTGGCCAGAAAACACTGCAAAGTGGACCAGACTTTATGCTGAGAGAGCTTTTATACAACCGTGAGATTGCTTTTGGTTTCAGGGAAGACAAAAGATTCACCGATCAGAGGAAGGGCGTTGGTCCCGGGGAGAGAAAGGTCACAGACGGGTGATTAACCCGGTGTCAGGCGAGACCTTCACGTCAACAACAACAGCGCTTTACTGGGAACTTGCGCAACGATGAATAATGCATGAGAGATGTTGCACACACCGTAGAAACACACGAGGCATGACTGACACAGCGGGACAGAGTTACCCAACGCCGCTAGCTTTCTTTAGCATGCTAGTCAGAGTTTACGGCCTAACCTGGTCTAGTATAGAAGCGGTTTCTATTTCTGTGACGTCGTGGCTGGAAACACAACATACACACTGCGCCGATGATGAACCTGATTATCTGCCGTATTTAATGTTCAAATTATTTAATGCGATTTTGATTATCATTATAGCTGTACTGAAAGCGTAAATAAACACATTTAAACTGTGAAAAAATAAGTGTATTCTATGACGAATATTATTTCATTCGTAATATTGATGAATTTTATGCTGATCTGAGTGCAGTGCACTTGCAGAGACTCCGCCCACACTCTCTTCTGATTGGCTGTGAGTTTTGATTGATTAGGCTTCTGAGATACTGGAATGCTACTGAACAAAAGGTAAGTTGGTACCATTGCTACTTTCAGTATTTAAATATGGATTGGCATGCATTGGTATAGCGTCTGATTAAATAATGCCACACATTATTCCACTGAGTGAAAAGGCTGACGTCAACAGTATTCTCTGTGCGAGATCTGAAAGTTCACTCTTTAGGGCGTCATCAAGCGGCGGCGGTTTTCTCGATAAGTCCGTGTGCACGAGCGCGTAATGATGCTAGCTTTAAGGCTAGATCCGATCACAGCTCAAGTCCTTCTCAGCGGAGAAGCAGATGATGGTCAAGTGTGTGAGCGCTCAGAGTGTGTGTTCAGAGAAACAAGAAACTCAAGCCAGGCTTTGCACTCACTGCTGCAGATAAACACATGATGCTCATGGACTGCACTCGCTCCGGTGGCTCCTGGCGAGGGAAACGGCAGATCCGGAAGCGAGGCCAGGGCTGATCTCATGAAATGGCGTATGTATGACACGACAATTCGTATTTCCATTTTTGGCGTGCTATCAACACGCATAATCGCTTTTCAGCGTGTTTATCAACGCCTTGACTTAACGTTACATTACTGTATATATAAATATATGACCTACCCCAACCCCGTCCCTAACCCTACCCGTCACTGGGGTTAATACCATTTATGAGTCTTCTCCTACCATCCTAGGAAAAGAAATATCGCTCCACAGATGTAGATCTACATTTTGCTTCGTTTCGCTCGGACATTTAACGGCGTACACATACACTAGAGGTCTTCACGGGTCCACTTGGATCCGAAAACCCGAGGTCCGACCCGAGACCCGAGCGGGTTCGGGTCCAAAACTCTGACGAGTGTCTCGGACACGGGTCGGGTTCGGTATTAGTGGCCTCGGGTCTCGGGTAATTTAAAATAAATATGCCTTTTCCAAATGGACCCGAGAAGACCCAAATTCTTTTAAACTATGTTGGGCATTTAAGAAAATTGCAGTATTTAAAACAACTCTATGACACCGTTCTCTCACTTTTTCTAAGTGAGAGAGCGAATCCGCGCTTCTACGTGCAAATGGGCTATCAGCGTAAGCACGGTTGCCTCCGCATTTATTTACTCAGTTGCTCGCTCCACATAAACCAACCCCTCCCTTTGCCAAGAAGAACTAGTGCGCCATCATGTGGATGGATGTTTGACTAAATGCAAGTATTTGAATTGTCGTTTAGCCAGGCCTGTCAATCAATTTTAAAAATACGCGACACTGTCAGAAAAGCATGGAGGCGATAACAGACATTGCGAAAAATGTCAGGGAAAACGAATGGTGGTTCTAATCATCGTATGGACCGGTAAATAACATTATGCCAAATGTTATAGGACGTAATGGGTTACAGTGATGTGTGATTGACATTTTAGCACTTCAGCGCGCTTACACTTGCGCGTCTATGTTAAGTGCATGTTTGAGAAACGCAGGGCTGCTGTGCACAATGTAAATGCCGTTTACGTTCGGGTCCAGTCGGGTTCTAAAGGAAATGGCGTCAGGTCGGGTCGGACTCGGGTCTAATTTTATCGGGTCTGTCTCGGGTCGTGTTTTTCTTTAAAAAAAAAATTTTATGCACGTCGGGTTCGGGTAAGTAGTGATTCGGGTCGGGTACAGTTTTTAGGACCCGAGAAGACCTCTAACATACACACAAAAGATGCCGGTTCGTTTCGGCGTGGACACACACGCGGATAGCTCAAAATGCGTATAGATAACACACCACTTGACTTAAAAGTGGCGTGTATGTTTACGCAAAGTCATGATGTCATGTTGTACACTGGGGAAAAAATGCAATTTAAAATGGTTTTTGATGCAGTATATCATATGTCATCTCCAACAGAGTAATTTAATATGCATTGACTGGTTATGGTATACTATTTGACCTGACAAGCATGTTTCCAGATTTTTGTGCGCTACAAGTTGCATGACATTTATATTCTTTCACAAAATTTTCAGACTGGCTTGAAAATAAAATTCTAAAGTGGACATATCATGAAAATCTGAAGAGGATCTTATTATAATATTCCCGCCCCTTAATCTGCTCGTTTATAATATTCCCGGCCCTTAATCTGCACGTTCACACACACCAGCGACATTGGGTTCGGCGAGCACGAACAGAGACCAGTTCTAACGCACTGGAGAAGATCCAGCAAAGCCTGAAACTGTTCTGTGGTCGAGCACAGACGACACTGAACACTATTGACCAGAACATGTCAGCGCTGTCTTATAAACACCTCAGGAACTGTGGACACTTGTGGAAGAGTTCAACATGATGAGGAGATGATCAGTGTAACTCCACAACAACTACAGAAATGTCTCCGCTAACATTCAGAAACGTGTAAAAGTGAAGCTCACCCTGAGTCTCTCCGTAAGGCTGCACTCGCTGCTGTTACTCCTGACTCTGGATCAGTGAGATTGGCCTGTGTTGTTATTGCTGGAGTCTCTGAAGCTCGTGTGAAGGCTCCGCCCTCTTCTGAACGGAGGCGGAGCTAAAGCTCATTTGCATTTAAAGGAACACACACACAAACGGCACGTTTTTGCTCTCACCCAAAAAGGGGCAAATTTGACGAGCTATATGATCTGGGGGGAATTTTAAGATGAAATTTCACAGACACATTCTGGGGACACCATAGATTTAAATATTAGCATAATAATTAGCATAATAATCTTTCAAATCAAATCTTTTTTTCCCCTTCCTTGCAATTATACGCCTTTAAAACAACAACAAATGCTTCAATAGCACTACCCATAATGCCTTCCACTGATTATATATCTGTGGCACAAGTGGACATGAGTCATAACAGCTGCAGGTGCAGATGTGTCATAACTCTCTATTAAACCAGCATATTCAAGTTATGTTCATCTCTGTAGTCGTTCCCTCAACACTGCTGTAAAGACACATCACTGCACTGAGAAACTACATGCATGAGTATGAAGAACCAGAGCTTTATGATCAACCTCTCTGCATTTAACTGATGTTATGAGTGAATTAGCTGACATTGATTTATCCCCGTCTAAGTGCTAATGACAAAGTATCTCTTTCTTCTCTGGCAGGCCAGTATAAAGATTAGGTGAAATGCCATTACTGTAATTGCAAATGCGTACAGTAAGAAGGTCTGATGATGCTTTATGCCTCAGCTTTGCAAGTCTTTGAAATGTAAATGCTGTATATCAAAGCTTGGGGAAGTTATTTGAAGAAAAAAACAGCCAACCTATAGCAAAACGGTATACACACACACACACACACACATAGTATTGTACACATACTCATGATAATATAAATTGCATTTCATTGGGACGTTTGAACTGCCTGAAAGTACAAAACATTAAAAAAATGACATATTTTTACACTCATGCACCCATAACTTCCCTCAAATGTATTAGGCCTGTAAAAGGCATGTGATTATCCAACAGTGAAAATTAATATGAGGCCAACGTAAATATAGTAATCAACTGAATATAAATATAACACACACTCTAATTTCCTCTAGCCTCTGAAAAAACTAAGCCATAGACTAAAACAATCCCAACAATAGTTCTAACACTGCAGGGCTGTTGTAAAGGCACAGATCTGCGTTGACTGCCAACGGATCAGAAACAACCATGTTTACAGTATTGCCTCCATCTGTGAATGAATGATGATGATGATGATGATGATACACACACACACACTGAGTGTTACTGTAGGAGGAGCGGGCAGAGACAAAGGCTCAACATTACTGCTGTATTTAACACCGTTTTCAACGCTACAGCCAGCGGCTAATGAAGTGTGTGTCCGTACAGAAGGATGTGAAATGGCGAAGCGTTTGTTGTGTGTGTGTTGTGCGTCGGACGCGACGCGACTCACCTCGAGGATCGCGCACAGTGTCAGCAGTGTGTGTGTTGTTTGTGTGTGTTGGACTCACCTCGAGGATCGCGCACAGTGTCAGCAGTGTGTGTGTTGTGTGTCGGACGCGACGCGACTCACCTCGAGGATCGCGCACAGTGTCAGCAGTGTGTGTGTTGTGTGTGTGTGTTGGACTCACCTCGAGGATCGCGCACAGTGTCAGCAGCGCGGCCGCTCCGACGCTCTTCACCCGCTCCTGCATGTCGGAGTGTGTGTGTGTGTGTTAATGCCGTCAGGACGGAGGATTCATAGCAGCAAACCGTGGATGTTCACAGCAGAAGCAGGAGCGTGATGATGCGCGCTCGCGCTCTGTGTGTGTGTGTGTGTGTGTCGCGGAGGAGAGAGAGAGAACAGCGCCAGCATCTCCGCTGCGGCTCGAGCGACAAGCAACCGAGTCCGCTGCTAAACACACACACACACACACACACACACACACACACACACACACACACGATATTAGCACCGCAGGCTTCTGTCTCATACTCCTCAATCTAACACAACTCTTCATCGGGAGAATCCACCACTTATTAGACTATAGTCCCCTCTGCTTACTTTAATTGTAAAAAATATATTTTGATTTACAAAGTAGGATAATGTTACCTGGAAGATGCAAAGAAAGTAAAAGGGCGTTTGAATGTCACTGCACAACAACAACATTTGAAAACCACATGGCTTTCATTTTAAGCACATGTATCAAGAATATACAAGAAGCTCACTTGATTTTATAAATAATTAATCTATTTATACTGACTCTCTGCAATCAAAATAAAAGTTTTCTATTTTAACCTTGGGGTTATATACATTCAGGATATGCTAATGTTCTCATAAATACTGGCTAAATCCACTTAAATGCTTTCACAGCCTTTCTCTTTAGGGACCACGAGTATTGATGACTCATCCTGCACTACACAGATCTCTGTCCAATCAAATGCTAGGATGAGAATGTCCTCGAATGCCACCAGAATCTGACTATACAAGCATGTAATTAAACGGTGATGTAATTAAAGCCTATTGGATATATTTTTTAAAGTGGTCGAAAGTTGAATGTTAAAATTATTGATAAATTACATATGTGTGAACTTGAGTGGAACTGACATACATTCACTACAAATCACCTGGGAACCAGAAGTCAATGCAACAACAACAAAAAAGGTTTTAGAAAACTAGCATAATTTTATGCAATTCACACACACACACACACACACACACACACACACACACACACACACACACACACACACACACACACACACACACACACACACACACACACACACACACACACACACTGCATTGTGTTTTGGATTATGTCTTATCTTATTGTATGCCTATAACAGATATTATGTTTTCATTAATATCTTTTGTATCGCAGAGACTTACGTTACTTTGCCGCTTTGGTTTCTAGCCACAATTCAACCTTTTGACAGTTTTCATGCTATTATTTTCTTGATGTGTGACAGTGATCATGAATGAAGGCTCTCGTCCTCCCCGGTGTGTTTACCTGTGTCCGTTACCATGGCAACCGGTCTTTTCAAAACAAAGACCAGGACTGAGAGCAAGAGAGAGTGTGTGTGTGCGTGTGTGTGTGTGTGTGTGTGTGTGTGTTGTTCTTTCTCTTAATTGGGGAGCTGCAGTAATGACTATAAGGCTCTAATGAGCTGAGATCAGTTGATGAACTGAAGTCCACCTCGACTGTCTTGTTCTGTTGCCATGAGTTTGGAAGAGGAGCTGAGAGAATCCAATTAGTTGTGAGTGCATGAATGTCCTCACTGTCTGTCATAGTGTGTCACGAAGCACAGTCTCAGTTCCGGCTGCTGTTCTCTGAACAGGGGATGATGTAATACCACGGATGGGTTTGTGCAACTCTATCTTTCAGAAAAGGAGAGCCCTGGCCTGAACTGACGAAAATATGATTAAAAACTGCTGCTAAATGTTATTATATTTGATTTATATGTGATTGATTTTAATTATCTATTTACATTAATACAAATTCAAAAATGGCTCTATCCCAAATATTAGGGTTAATAACGTTAAATGACATTAGCTAACATTCTGGCGAGGTTCTCTCGACGTTCAGTAACGTTAATAAAGCGTTTTTTTTAATGTTGTTTTCCCCCCGAAATGTTCCATTGGAACGTTTTTTTTAATATCACCACTTGTTTCAGAATGTTTAGAGAATATTCAAAAGTAGCGTTTTTATAATGTTTGCAAAATTATAAAATGTTCCCTTAACGTTCACGTTACCAAGAATGAACCAAGAAACGTTTTAAACTCAGAAATAGTGTTTTTATAACTTAATGGGAATTTTATCAAAATGTTTTTAGAACATAGTTTTGTCATGTAGAAAAAAAGGTCATACTTCAAAATAAGGTTTCATTTGTTAACATTAGTTAACTACTTTAGTTAACGTGAACTAAAAATGAATAGTACTTCTACAGCATTTATTAATCTTATTTATTGCTCATTGCTAGTTCATGTTGGTTAATGCAATAACTAATGTTAATAAATAAGACCTTATTGTAAAGTGTTACCAAAAAAAAACACTCAATTTCAAAATACTCAAATTCATCATGTGATATGGTTTAATCATTAAATATTCAGCCTGTATATATCAAGCTGTAAGGATATTTCTCACGAACTCTACTAAAACCAGAGGTGTTTGACATTGAGGCGTTTGGAAACTGCAGGACTGAGGTCTTGGGAAACTGCAGGACTGAGGCGTTGGGAAACTGCAGGACTGAGGCGTTGGGAAACTGCAGGACTGAGGCGTTGGGAAACAGCAGGACTGAGGCGTTGGGAAACAGCAGGACTGAGGCGTTGGGAAACTGCAGGACTGAGGCGTTGGGAAACTGCAGGACTGAGGTCTTGGGAAACTGCAGGACTGAGGCGTTGGGAAACTGCAGGACTGAGGCGTTGGGAAACTGCAGGACTGAGGCGTTGGGAAACTGCAGGACTGAGGCGTTGGGAAACTGCAGGACTGAGGCTGAGGCGTTGGGAAACTGCAGGACTGAGGCGTTGGGAAACTGCAGGACTGAGGCGTTGGGAAACTGCAGGACTGAGGCGTTGGGAAACTGCAGGACTGAGGCGTTGGGAAACTGCAGGACTGAGGCGTTGGGAAACTGCAGGACTGAGGCGTTGGGAAACTGCAGGACTGAGGCGTTGGGAAACAGCAGGACTGAGGCGTTGGGAAACTGCAGGACTGAGGCGTTGGGAAACTGCAGGATTGAGGCGTTGGGAAACTGCAGGACTGAGGCTTTGGGAAACAGCAGGACTGAGGCGTTGGGAAATTGAAGGACTGAGGCGTTGGGAAACAGCAGGACTGAGGCGTTGGGAAACAGCAGGACTGAGGCATTGGGAAACTGCAGGACTGAGGCGTTGGGAAACGGCAGGACTGAGGCGTTGGGAAACTGCAGGACTGAGGTCTTGGGAAATTGCAGGACTGAGGCGTTGGGAAACAGCAGGACTGAGGTGTTGGGAAACGGCAGGACTGAGGCGTTGGGAAACTGCAGGACTGAGGTCTTGGGAAATTGCAGGACTGAGGCGTTGGGAAACAGCAGGACTGAGGCGTTGGGAAACAGCAGGACTGAGGCGTTGGGAAACTGCAGGACTGAGGCGTTGGGAAACTGCAGGACTGAGGCGTTGGGAAACAGCAGGACTGAGGCGTTGGGAAACTGCAGGACTGAGGCGTTGGGAAACTGCAGGACTGAGGCGTTGGGAAACAGCAGGACTGAGGCGTTGGGAAACTGCAGGACTGAGGTGTTGGGAAACGGCAGGACTGAGGCGTTGGGAAACTGCAGGACTGAGGCGTTGGGAAACAGCAGGACTGAGGCGTTGGGAAACTGCAGGTCTGAGGCGTTGGGAAACTGCAGGACTGAGGCGTTGGGAAACAGCAGGACTGAGGCGTTGGGAAACTGCAGGACTGAGGCGTTGGGAAACTGCAGGACTGAGGCGTTGGGAAACTGCAGGACTGAGGCGTTGGGAAACAGCAGGACTGAGGCGTTGGGAAACAGCAGGACTGAGGCGTTGGGAAACGGCAGGACTGAGGCGTTGGGAAACTGCAGGACTGAGGCGTTGGGAAACTGCAGGATTGAGGCGTTGGGAAACTGCAGGACTGAGGCGTTGGGAAACAGCAGGACTGAGGCGTTGGGAAACTGCAGGACTGAGGCGTTGGGAAACAGCAGGACTGAGGCGTTGGGAAACTGCAGGACTGAGGCGTTGGGAAACAGCAGGACTGAGGCGTTGGGAAACTGCAGGACTGAGGCGTTGGGAAACTGCAGGACTGAGGCGTTGGGAAACAGCAGGACTGAGGCGTTGGGAAACTGCAGGACTGAGGTGTTGGGAAACGGCAGGACTGAGGCGTTGGGAAACTGCAGGACTGAGGCGTTGGGAAACAGCAGGACTGAGGCGTTGGGAAACTGCAGGTCTGAGGCGTTGGGAAACTGCAGGACTGAGGCGTTGGGAAACTGCAGGACTGAGGCGTTGGGAAACTGCAGGACTGAGGCGTTGGGAAACAGCAGGACTGAGGCGTTGGGAAACAGCAGGACTGAGGCGTTGGGAAACGGCAGGACTGAGGCGTTGGGAAACTGCAGGACTGAGGCGTTGGGAAACTGCAGGATTGAGGCGTTGGGAAACTGCAGGACTGAGGCGTTGGGAAACAGCAGGACTGAGGCGTTGGGAAACTGCAGGACTGAGGCGTTGGGAAACAGCAGGACTGAGGCGTTGGGAAACTGCAGGACTGAGGCGTTGGGAAACTGCAGGACTGAGGCGTTGGGAAACTGCAGGACTGAGGCGTTGGGAAACTGCAGGACTGAGGCGTTGGGAAACAGCAGGACTGAGGCGTTGGGAAACTGCAGGACTGAGGCGTTGGGAAACAGCAGGACTGAGGCGTTGGGAAACTGCAGGACTGAGGCGTTGGGAAATTGCAGGACTGAGGCGTTGGGAAACAGCAGGACTGAGGCGTTGGGAAACAGCAGGACTGAGGCGTTGGGAAACTGCAGGACTGAGGCGTTGGGAAACTGCAGGATTGAGGCATTGGGAAACTGCAGGACTGAGGCGTTGGGAAACAGCAGGACTGAGGCGTTGGGAAACTGCAGGACTGAGGCGTTGGGAAACTGCAGGACTGATGGAAACGGCAGGGCTGAGGCGGTAATAATGGCAGCATCAGAACAAGCACAGCACGACAGGACAACACTAACAGCCTGTGGGATTCCCACATCCAGACAGACAAGCAAAGGCCTAAACCCAACACTGAACCGTGAGGGGGATAAATGAGGCATTCCCAACTCAAAACTCGTTTTCCCGGATTGCAGTGTTGAGGGACCCGCATCCAGTGTTGTTTTGGACCCCATTGACTTTCATTGTATGTAAGAAATGAGTTCAGGCATT